AAATGTGCTTTCCAGTGCTGGATGTTTAGAATGCTGTGCTTTGCAGCTAACACTGTCCTTGGCTGGATTTGTGTTTTGGTGTTTAAGAGCTGGGGTGAACAGTGGGTTCATAAGGAGCTTGGGGGTGTTTGGTAGCTGGGGGGGATGCAATCTGGCACATGGGGATCGAGCCAGGGTGCAGAGGGCAGGAAGATTCTTGCCCAGATTCTCAGCCCAGGAGTGAGCTGAGGTTTTTGCATCCTTTTTTCCTTGTGAGGAGTGGGCAGCTAAGGGAGGATAGAGCAGTCTCACTGCCTACTTTTCAGTGCTTGTAAGCAAACCCAGCAGGATCTGTGTCCCCCTTCAGTAAGTGTTGTCTGTCTTCCATTGCAGACTGTTGGAAATTCAGGGTCTGCTAACGGGATTCACCAGCAGGATAAATCCCACAAGCAAGAGGTGAGTTATGAGCAGAATGTTGTTTAAAACAGGATCTGCTTCGTGTGGTTTCTTGCCTGCTGTGGTGGGGACAGCATTTGGATGGGGGTACTTCTTCCAGCACAGCTTGACTGTTTCATTCCCACAGCAAAAGCAAGAGGCTTTGCACAGCTCCAGCTCCCAAGTGTGGTGGGAACCTCACTAGAAACCCCTTGAAGCCCTGGGGAAGGTGGTGGTGAGGAGCACACAGAGGTGCAAAGGGAGTTTCCCCACAGTCTCCTGGGTCAGTGCTGTGTGACACTTCTCCTGGCAGCCCCTGCTAGAACCTGCTCAGCCTCAGATCTCTGCTGTCCCCTTTACATGGGTGGCATTTGTGGGACATGCTGCCCTGGCCTCCCACAGCAGACTTCATCTACCCATAAAAGCTGTGGGCATTCTGCTCCATGCCTCTTCCAAAAAAAGCCTCTGTGCTTGTCCTCATTCTGCCTAACAAGATCTGTTTTCTTCTAGGAGAAGCTCTGATAGAGAAGAGGTGAAAAGGATCATTTCACGCCAGTATCAGCTCCTCTGCACAGTCAGGAAAAACACCACCACATCTGGCTTTAGCACCTCCAAAAGACCACACACAGTATTTTCACTTTAAAGCAGGACAATGTTTATAATGTACTAACTGTTGTAATCAGGACAATCCCAGAGTCCAGTTTTCCAAGACAGCCATTGTTCCAGGAGGGAGCAGAGAGACCTCTCTGGGTTTGGTTTCTTACTTGTATGGTTTTGACTGTGGAATTTGTATTGTTTGAGCTGCCCTTGTCCCACCAGCTGATGTGGTTTGGGTGACAGCTGCCCTGACCTGTGGCTGAAGTGTCAGCAGGTCCCAGTAACCCCACAGGAGCTGCAAAGGGATTTGCCTGTGGTGTTCAAAGCACGTGCCCATAGACTGCACCCTTCCCACAGGGTCTGTCCCTTCCCTCCCACACACCCTGGTGTCCTGAGGACCTGCACAAGTGAGTGAAACCTGCTGGGCTGATGATGTGAGGTCTGGGGCCGTGTTCCCCTCCTCCTTTTTTGGAAGACATCGCTGTTTTAGAGCAGAGGCTGCACTTAGTTCTTGTATTATAGCATGTTGTGGGAAATAATCCAGTTTCAGAGGGATATTTATTTTGTTTCTTCTCCTCTGCCATTTGGGGAAGAAGATGTGCTGGCTCTGAGTTTGGGGTCAGGCACACCTTGCCTGTGTAGTTGGCCTTTCTCCTGCAGTGAGATCTCTGAGCAGGCCTGCTGGAGTCCTGTGCCATGGCCAGCTGTCCAGCTTGGTCCCCCTCACTCCTGGGGGGTTCATTGGGTCTGTTTTGAACTCAGGACTCTGCAGATGCTGGGTCCCAGCATCACTGGCCTTGGAGCTCCATGCTGGGGGCAGTCAGTGCATTGAGAAAATGGTTCTCTCCTTGCCTGTTTCATTTAACAGCTCACTGTGGGTTGCCTGGTGCTCTGCACAGCTGTCCTTGGCTCTTCAGTGTGATGCCCATCTGCTGCTAACCAGGATGGATGAGGTGAAGGTGCTGCTGTGAGCCTTTGATGGCTTCAGCAATCCTCTGTGCATGACCTGAGTGTGTTTGGAGCAGAGGCAATCCAAGACCAGAGCCCACACAGCTCTTGTGTCTGTACCAGCAGAGGATCTTGTTCCTTCTTCCCAAGGCTTTCCTCTGACTTTGCACCACAGCTCCCAGGTGGCATCAGGGCAGAGGAAGGTGACAACATGCTCCTAAAGGTGTGAAAGAGCCCAGCTCAGGTTCACTGTTCAGTAGCACAGACAACAGTCACAATATTTTTCCAGGCTTCTCCCACTTAGTGCCCAACTCCTCCAGCCTTCGTGAGCTCTTGTGCTGTGATGGGGCATCTGTGACAGGACAAGATGGGAGAGGAGTTGTGAGGCTGACCCCCAGCAGGTGAACATGATGGCACATCAGCTCTGTTGCTTTTTGCCCTGATTTCCCACAAAGTTGTGTCACCTTTTCTCAGTGGGTTGCCAGGCTCCTGCTTCTTTGAAGGATGGGCAGCCAGAAGCTGCCTGGGAAAGATTTGATGGCTGCAATCTTGCCATGAGGAGGATGACATTGAGTACTTGACCCTTCTCACCTGACACAGGTAATCTCCTGTCCTTTGGAGGATGGGAAAGGAAGGGGACTCGAGGGAAGGTAAAGCAGGTCAGAAATCACAGCAGAAATCTGCACATGGTAGCAGGAGACAGAGCATTGGATTGAACTGGCTGGAAATAATTCATGTAGGATTCTATCCTGCCTTGTAGGAGTGTTTCTTCAGCTCTTACTAATCACCAGGAAGATTGCCACATCTCTGCCTTGCTCTGGGAGTTTCTCAAGGGATTGTAGCAATGGTCTCCAAAGCCCTTCTGGCTGAGTATTCATCTTCTGAGTGATTTTGGAAAATCCCAGAGAGAGTTATTGTTTGTTACAGCCCTCAATAGTGAATACCTCACTGCTTTTTTAAAGAATGTAGGGCTGATGTTTCCCAAAATTCTCCTGTTGGCGGGATGGTCTCTGAAGTCATGTCTGCAGATCCCATGGGCTTCCTGGGCACCTGCAAGAGGGAGGCCCCATTCTGGTTTGTAACTTGCTTTCCCTTACGGGTTTTCCAGTGACTTGTGACCAGCTGCCTTCACCTACAGCAGAGGTACCTGTGTTTTCCACCTCCCTTTGGCTCTGTATAGAATGAGACCCCCTGAGAGTGGCTATGGAGACCATTTGGTTCTGTTGATCAGATCCAAAGCTGTCAGGCTACAGGAGTCTCTGCCTCTTCCCAGGGACCATCCCCTGAGAGCAGCTCAGACGTGTGGCTTTTCCCATTCAGCCTGGGAGACAATGCAGAACAGGAACAGATGGGTTCAGACCAGGTTCAGAGTTAGTGCTGATGGTCTTCTCTGGCTGTAAATGACTGTGCTGGTCCCTGAGGGTCAGCCAGGAGCTGTTGGCACTGCTTGGCTCTGTGTGCAGGCTGTGTGGTCACGGTGTTGCAGGGCTGAGGGTTGGAGCCCCCCACCCACTGGGGGAGCTGCTCCCAGACAGGGCCATGCACGATGCCAACAGGATATGCTGTTGTGTGCTCATGTGGGCTTCAGCTCAACCCTGTCTAAGGGCCAGGAGGGGTTGGACTCACTCACTTCCTCCCTCTCCAAAACTATCACAGGCTTCCCCAGGGCACCAGCCTCTGGCTGCCGTTCTGAGGAGGTAAGAGACCACACTAGGGACAAACTTGGAAAGGACAAGGGGGAGGTTCCCCAGCCCCTCTATTTATTTGTAAGTTTAAGTGCTATTTTTACCTATGTGGTGGTGTATAAAGTACTTCATGATACTTGGTCTTACTGGCTTGGTTCTTTGGGAGAGAGTTCCGGGGCACTGGAGCGGTGATGCACCCTTGTCCTGTTGTTGATCCGGGCTGGTTCCTGTTTGTGCCTTCACTCCCCCTTTGGCTTCAGCCTTGCTCTTACCTCGATCCCTGAGAGCTGGTAAGGGAAGGGCTGTGCTTTCCCCAGCCTTTCTCCCAGCCTGAGAATGCCATGCTGGTTTTCCATCTGCAGATGGGGCCTGAGCATCCTGCCCCAGAGCAGCGGTGCAGGGTGGGGAGCAGGAGGTGACGTGCTGCTGGAGCCAGTGGCGTTTTCCTGACAGCTAGTGATGCTTTTCTGCTGAGAGCTGAGCCCTTATCCAGTGAAAAAAACAGCCTTTGCAATGGAGACTACTTAGTATTGAGTGATTTCAACAGCAGAATTCAACAGAATTCTGTTCTCTAGAATTTCTTCTCTAACTCTCAAGACCAAAGGGAAAAGAATCAGTCTTGCTTGGGAATGTCAATTTTATCCCTCCTGCAGCATGCAGAGAGCTGGAGCAAGGGGCAGCACAATGCTGGTGCCCTATGGAATGATGACAGCTCTTGGAATGACAGGTGCCAAGCTGCCAGCCAAGGCCTTACAGCTCCTGCCTCCCCCCAGCCACCAGCAGCTCCTCTGACTTGCAGTAGAGATGCATAAGGGTTTCATTAAGCAAAATGATGCAAATGACACTGTAAAAGTCTTAACAAAAATTCCAGTACTCCGTTATTCAGCAGCTTTAGCAGCTCAGCACTATCTGTAGGGAGTTATTAATACACTAAGATCCTATAGGCCTCCTGTAAGTTACCACAAAAAAGGTGATACTAGATGTATAAATGGATGATATCCTTTTACCCATACAGTATGTATTACAATTTTGTAGCTTAGTCATTTTTTGGCTATCAGATTTTGTTAGTATGATACAAAAAAAAGACAAAAAAAAAAGGTTTGACTGCTAATGTCTATTTTGTTATTTGATTCATTTTCTTCCTCTGTACAAAAGCTGTACAAATCTGTCTGTGTAACTCCTCCACATCTGTATTCATGTACCATCCCCTTGTCCTGGCTTTCTGGTGTGGTGAGCTCCTACTAAACAATAAACTCTGTGGCTGAAGTTGGGCATCCTGGGGCTGCTGGGGCATGTTCAGGGTGTTCTGCAGTGCACAAACTGTCCTGAGCTGGAAGGGGCTGGGGCCACGGGGCTGTGGCACTGTTCCCCCTGCCCTGAACACCAGCAGAGACCTTGAGCCATCTGTGTTTGGGCTCTGCAAGTGGCTGGGAGGCTGCAGAGCTGCCCTGGGGATGAGCTGAGCTGGAGCACAGCTGCATTTGCTCTTCTGCATCCCATGCCAGAGGTGGGGACAGCCAAGCCCAGCACCATCTCCTGCCTGGGCAGCTGCTGCTGTCGAGCATCTCCCAAGCCTCAGCGTGGTTGTGCTATTTATTAATCTGTGATTATTTTCTAATTGTCTCCCCAGTCCCTCACTGACATGTCCACAATGCCCTGAGGTGAGGAGTGTTGCAGGGTGCTGTGCCAGACCCATCTCCCTGCACCTCAGCACTGATCCATACTTGTTTGAGCAGTGCCACCTTCATTTTGCATAGACTGTGGTTGGGTCATCCTCATTCCTTCCAGGTTATCTACCACAGACCTTCAGAGCACATGGAAATGGGGATTGCAGTGAATCAGTCCAGGAGGAGCTGCCCCATCCCAGGCCCTGCCTCTCCTGTCCCTGTGTTCCCACCACACATCCATGTGGATGCTCTGAGCATCACAGAGTTTTGCTGTCACACATGAGGCAGGACTGGATGGATTTGTGCTGGTTCTTGGTGCTGAGGCAGAGCAGGCAGCTCTGTACTGCCCCACAGCACTCTAGGCTGTGATTTTAACTATCTGAGAAAAAAAATGATGTAATAGTATTTTTTTTGTGATGCTGGTGCCCTATGGAATGATGGTACCAAAGCTGCCTGGGTGTTACATGCTCCAAACCAGGCCTTGGGCTTGCTGTGCCAAACCACCGAGCAGCCAATGTCTGAATCCCAGGTGAAAAGCAGCAGGTTTGGCCATTCTCTCACAGGGACTGAGCTCTGTGGGACCACTGGCCCTGCCCACGGCCTCTGCCCAGGTGCTGCTTTGGGGATCCCTCATTTGCTGAGGAAACAAACAGAAATGTGCCCTTTGCACTTCACCTGGGCCGTTGTGGTTGTTCCAGTGCCCTGCCCGTGGTGACTCACACTGACAGTTCACCTGCACAGCAAAGCCAGGCTTATTGCCCACTCCACAATGCAAGAAGAAGGAAACCAACAACATGGGATACCACAGAAGAGGACACTGACACAGCAGATGAAGAACTGGCTTAGCTGCAACTCAAGTCTTCAACTGATTAAAAGAAAAAGAGAGAGGCCTCTCCTGTCCTGTGAGACCTTTGAGCACCAAAAAGAGGCTCCAAAAGGGCTGGAGAGGGGCTTGGCACAAGGGCCTTGAATGACAGGACAAGGGGGAATGGCTTCACACTGTGACATGGCAGGGTTAGATTGGCTATTGGGAAGAAAATATTCCATGTGAGGGTCAGGATGCTTTGGTACAGGTTGCCCAAAGAAATTGTGTCTGCCCCATTCCTGAAAGTGCCCAGGGTCTGGCTGGATGGGACGTGGAGCAAGCTGGTCCAGTGGAAGGTGTTCCTGCCTATGACAGGTGATTGGAAAGAGAGGATCTTTGAGGTTCCTTCCAACCCAAGCCATTCCATGACTTCATGACTTCATGAGTCTGTGACCCACCAGCTCCCAAGGGTGGGGTGTGCTGCCTGGCAACGGGAGCTGTGATGAAGAGGGGCATGAGCAGGGCAAGCTCCAGTCCTGCAAGGGATGAGGAAGGAGGAAGGAGCCTGCTGGCTGCTCATTCTTTTTTCCATCCCTTTTGCTCACCCCCTTCGTTATGCCTTTTGCTCATCCCTGACTGACCCAACTGGGCAAGAAGGCTTCTGACCAACCAGGGACCGAGTGTGTGCAGACATGGAAACATCCCTGGACACGCTCAGCCTCTCCCAGCTCCTGGATCTCTCCATCGGGGCACCCGAGAAAGGGGCTGTTCAATTTGCAGCCTTGAGAAAACTGCTGCAGGTCATGCTGGAGCACCTGAACGTGCAGTACCTGACCACCGAGGAGCCGTGGCCGGGCCAGCTGAGTGGCCCCTCACTCGCTGATGTAGCTACTGAAGTGAAAGAAATTAAGAAGGAGATGGAAGTCGACAAGGAACACATGTCCAAGGTAGAGGCTCGTCCCAGCCCCCTGGGCTCTCCCCCACCAGACAGCCCCTCCTCACTTCCTCAGACAGCGGTGCTTGGCACTGCCCTCACTGCCCAGGCAGAGCTTGAGCTGCTGGCAGTGGCTCTTTGCCATCTGCGTGGGCTTCAGTGCTCTGGCACTGAGCTGGGCTGGGGCTGGTGGCACCGGCACCTGCTGGCCTGGCTGAGCCATGGGCTGCCCGTGGCAGGGTGGGGCTCTTTGGGGTGTTGCTGCCCTGGCCATCACCTCTGATATCCCACTTCTTGGACTGCTTCACAGGTTCTTGAGGATGCTGATGGAACCACAAGTGCGTCAAAGGGCTTAAGAAAGGTACAGGTCTCTGCAGACCACTGTGGTGGTGCAGATCATTTTCCCCACAGGCACTCCTCAGGTACTTGTCACCCTTACCACTTTCTCCTGCAGTCCTCTAGGTCAGAGAACTTGAAGAAGAAGAAGAAGGGACAGGTCGGTGAATACCACTCTGGTGGTGATGGTTGTGTTTCCCACACTCCTCATCTCTGATACCACTTTCTCCTACAGTCTGGCATGACAAAGGAAAAGAAGATCCAGGAGGCGCAGGATGAGGTGAACTGCTGCTGGGAGCAAGCCCTGGCTCTGAGACAGCAGCCCATGCCCTCGGCTCTGCTGGCTGGATGTGTGGAGAATGCTGCCTGCAGCCTCCCAGCCTGGCTGAGCCGGGCCCTGCGCTGTCCCCCAGTGCTCCACAAACCATGGCAGGGCTCAAGGCCTTGCAGGTCCCCACTGACCCTCCCCAGAGACTGACTAGCACCACTCCTCTCTCCTAGGACACGAATCTCTCCCCGGATCTCCGTGAGGAGGTTCAAAGGATACAGACAGCACAGACCCGCATGGCACAGACGATGAAGGAGTTGGCTGCCTCGGTGAGCTACAGGGTGATGTCACCCTTGGGCTCTCATGGGGAACTTCAGTGGGACTCCAAGAGCAGCAGTTTAGGGTCAGGGTCTCAGGAATGGGTGGGGGGCTCTGGGGTTTTCTGTACAGCTGAAGGGCCCCCATTCTGGGACAACACGATTGATGTCTGTGCCCTGACTCTGCCATCACTGACCTTCCCAGATGAAGAAGCTGGAGGAGGACATTAAAAAGCTTAGGCAGGATACAGCCCAGTGGAGAGAAGAGACCAGTGAAGAGCTCTCTCAGAAAATGGAGTAAGAGGACAAGAGTGGTTTTCATACCCTGTGGGGCTGCAAGGGAGCCCAGGGGATCTGGGAGCACCCTGGCCTGCAGGTACAGGACAGTGCCCGAGCAGCCCTGCAGGGTAACCCTGCCCTTGCCCCCATCTCGCTGGCCAGGGCTGTGCTGCAGGAGACAAAGCGGGAGCTGCAGAAGATGGAAGAGCAGGAGGAGATGAGGAGTGCCATGCTGGAGCAGCTGCTGACAGTGACCCAGGTGGATGAGGAGAGGTCCTGGGGGAGGACTCCTACCACTCACTGGCTTGGTGCAGTAGCCCTGCTGGGGTTCCCAGCCATATTCCCCAGCTGGGTACGGCCACCCAGTGCTGTTGATTCCATCCATCCCATCTCTTGAGCCAATTCCCTCTGCCCTTCCTGCAGATGGCTGGAACAGAGGAGACAGTGGGGAGCGTGGAGGAGGAGCAGAAGGCAAAGGGGGAGTGCTCCAGCTGCTCTGTCGACATCAATGAGCAGTTGGGGGAGCTCCTCCTGCGCTGTGAGAAACTCCAGGAGCAGGTGGACTCCCTGGAGTCTCGGCAGGTGGCCATGGGCAAGCTTGAAAGGATGATGAGGAACTGGGGCCAGGTAGGCACTTGGCAACATGGGGGACTGGGGAGAATGTTGATGGCATCCTCCAGCTGCTTATGCTGTGCTGTAATGTGGGGGAGACCCAAACTGCACCAGATTTGCCTGGACCAGTCAGAGGCATGGACAGAAATTAAAGCCTTGACACAAAAGTCCTGTTGAAACTGAGGGCTCATGGCCACTGGCTGAGTAATGTGGGTCTGCCCCTGTGGAGCAGCCAGACTCCTTTTGGTCAGCATCAAATGTTTTTCCTCCTTGGAACAGGATCAAGAGATGATGCAGCCCAAGGATGCCACAGTTATGCAGATGCAAAGGGACTATGAGAAGCTCAGCTTCATCGCAGAGAGTCTCCAGAAGGACTCTCAAGAAAAGCAGCAGGCAATTGAGGTGTGTGGCTGAAACCCCTTTGGAGTCAGAGCATGACCCAGGAAGACTCCAGGCAGGGATCTCAAGGAATCTGTCTCCCTGCTGACCTACTCACAGCACTGTGCTGATTCCAAGTGCCTTTCCTTGATATTGTTTGGGGCAGGGAGGAGGGTGTGCTCCCTGCTCCTGGGGGATGCCCCAGGAGGCAGCTCCAGCCCTGCTGGGGTGTCATGGGTTCCCTTCTGTGCTGAAAGATGCTGTTCCAGTCTCTGGAGAAGCTGCAGAAAGAGAAAGCAGATGAACAGGAAATGTTGGCAGCCATGGACACGGTACAGTCTCCAGGGGCCTTTGTGCCAGCCCAGGGGTTCCTGGGCATGGTGACAAATGTCCCTTGTCCCTTGGGGGCTGGCTGGCAGAACTGGCCTGTGGGAGGGAGGATTTCCTGAGCTCATGGGGTGCCTCACCCTTCACATGGTGGGACCAAGCTCACCAGGGTGATGGGGCAAACGGGGCCACAGCACCCTGAAAGGGGCATGATGGCCTGGAGGAGGCACTTCTCCCTCTGCCCCTCACGTGTGCTGCCCTGCCTGTCCTTCCTCATCCCTTTCCCCATTGCTCCCCTGCCCTTCCCCTCGATAGAAGGCCAACAAAGCTGCCTTGGGCAGCAAAGTCAACTGCAGCCAGTTTGATGCAAATATGGAGCGGCTGAATGAGAGGATGCAGGAGCTACAGAGCCAGATTTCAGGCCAGGAGGAGCACTGGAACAAGATGCAGCAGCAGTTCAGCGATGCAATGGAAGAGAAGGTGAGCGGTTCTCATGGTCCCCACCATCAGAAACTGACACCTTTGGGACTTGACAGCCTGAGGCAGCATCCCTCTGAGGATCCCCTTCCAGGCTTTTCCCTGGAGACCTGCATGTTGTATCCTGGGGCAGCTGGCTGAGGTTGTGCACCTGTTCACAGCTGGATCGCTTGGAGCTGAAGGCTTTCAGTAGCCAGATAGAAGAGACCTGGAATAGGAACATTGAGGAACTTGAGACAAAGTGGATGCGTGAAAGTGCCGCTGGGTTTAAAAAGTGAGTGTGATGGAGATGGAGATGGCTTTGGGGATGGTGATGGTCCTGTTCTTGTGCTGTCCCAGCCATTACCCAAGGAGTCCCCTGCCCTGGGACCAATTCATCTGCTAAATCAACCATGGAGATGCTGATGAAGCAGCTGCACCTTCTCCTTCCACCTCAATCCACCCAGAACAGGAGGCACAAGGAGGGGGCACCTGCAGGATGGAGCCCTCCCAAAGCAAAATGGGGAATGTGGGTGCAGAGGCTCCCAGGAGCCAGGGTGGGACATGGCAGCTCATCCTCCCAGGAATGGCTGTGACACAGCACCCCAGAGCTGCCCGGCCCCTGGCTGCTGCCAGCGAGCTGCTGCCTGTGTGTGGGCAGGGCTGTGGCCCCAGGAGCTCCCCCAGCCCTCTTCTCTCACCCTCCTTAGGCAGCTGCCAGTCCCTTTCATGTGCCTGTCCTGTGACCGCATGCTCACCATGCACGTTCCTGGCCAGTAAGTAGCACCAGGGCTCTGGGAGCAGAGGTGGTGTCAGGGGGAGAGATGGGTGCCAGCAGGGACCTGCTGTGCTGGGCACAGGGGTGACAGTGTCTCCTTGGAAGGGTGTGATGTGGGGAGCCCCCCTGCAGCCCTGCCCTTCAGCAGGGGGTGTGGGCACACATCCCAAGGGCTATAGGAAGCCATGGGCTATAATCCTATGGGTTTGGGGGTGCTGCCTCCAACAGGAACAGGCTGTTTGTTCCCTGTCACACACCTGTAACTCCTGCTCTCCCCAGGAAGCCCGAGACACTCCCATATTTGCAGCCACTGTTCCCCAGCAAGGAGCCACAGTACAGCCAAAGGTAGGGGCTTTGAGGACACATCCCCAGCTCCCGGGGTGCAGGGTAGCCCTGCCTCAGCAAGGAGGGCTCGTCCCTGTGTGCGAGAGGCTTTTGCCTCCTGCATCAGGTGGACGGGAGCTGGGAGGAACACACTCCTGCAGGCAGCACCACCAGTCCCCTCCCTGGCACAGCAGGGTCCTGCAGGCAGCACCACCAGTCCCCTCCCTGGCACAGCAGGGTGATGCCACAGGGCTGGGCACTGAGTGTCCTCTGCCCCATCCCACAGGGGGCTGGCGGTCCATGGCAGTGTCCTCCGTATGCCACAGTGCTGTGGGGACTATCGAAGCTGCAGCTCTGTGATGCAGCAGATCAAAGCTTCCCTACAGAGAAGCGGGCAGCCACAGACCTTCTCAACAGTCCAGAAAAAGGTGGGGATGATGAAGGTGGGGACATGGAAGGGTGACTGAGGCTTGATGGCACTGCTGAGTATCCAGGGGGAATCTGTGCCTTCAGTCGCCAGGGAGACCTGGGTTGGGAGGATTACTGGGAGATGCTGGATTGGACCCCACATTACAGCCACCTTTTCTCTCCTCCTCAGCCTGAAGTGACCCCGCTGCAGGACAGTAGTGGACAGACCTTGAAGGGCCATGATGACCAGGTTCCTGCAGTGATCAGGACACAATCAGGTATGGCCCTGTTAGGGCATGGGTGTCAGAAAAGAGATGAGATTGTTTGCTGGGCAAGGCATGGGTGGCAAGCAAGGCTCTGCGTGCAAAGCTGGGCAGGTTTGGATGGGAGTTTGGGCTCTGGACTGGGTTGGAAGGCGCAGAAGCAGAATGGGGAAGAAGCAGAATAGAGCAGGAGGACTGGCACATGGGACAACTGAGCTTGGATCTCTGAGGATCTCTGGCTGGGCAGGTGACACTCCTGCTGACCCCTCCTGGCCTGGCAGAGCTCCACCATACAGGGGCTCCCACAGAAAGTGGCGGCTCACCCTCACCCATCCTCAACCCACAGGCCCTGCCACCTCACGGGAGCACCGGCCAGGCACAGCCCTCCGACACATCTCCTGGGCACCAGGGCTTGTCCAGCCACTCCAGCCCCGCCGGCCATCCACAGCCCCCATCCAGGTGGACATGACCCATCGCCCGGTGCTCGATCTGGCACATCTTGTCAGAAGTGAGAAAAGAGTGTGACAACGGTTATCAGAAACATGACACTTCAGTTGTATTAAGTTAATAAAAAGCCTTAAAATTACAGCCAGAGCCTTGTCTCACTAGCTCCTTCCCCGCTGCTGTGGCTCTGCCACCAGGGTGAGCAGATGGTGCCCCGGGGCCAGGCCCTGAGGCCGCTGCCCAGGGCAGCAGGAACAGCACTGCAGAGCCCGCACTGCCTGAGGCCTCATGGCCTGGGAAGCCAAGGGCAGATCCCCATGGTGCCTTGCAGGCACTGCTGGCACTGCTGGGCTTGGCTGCCACCTGAAATCCTCACAGGCAGCCCTGACGCTGACTCAGGAGCCGCTTGCAGCCATGTCCGAGCGCTGGCCCCGACCCTCAGGCTCCAAGTGCAGCTGTCCCATAATCTCTGCACTGGGACACTCCAAACTCATTTGTCACCTTCCTCCTCCTCTTCCTTTCCCCAGGGGCAGCATTAGGGACTGGCCCAGGGGGTTTCCTCCCACAGGGCTGGCAGCGCCTTGCCCAGAGCTCCCTCTCAGGATCCCTCTGCAGAGCTGCACCAGCCAGGCACCCCCGGCTGTCCCCACAGCCTGAGGCTGATCCTGCCTGGCTCAAGATGATATAAACATTTATCAACCAAGGATATACATATTTTTCTTTGGGTAGCCAGAGAATCCTGTAACAGCCTTGGGCCACCTTTCCTTGGCTTGAGCACTCAAGGTTCCACCGATTGTTACACAACTGCTGCTTTTGCACAATTTGCAACACATTCAGCAAGGTTTTACAGCCAAACCACACTGTGAGGAGCATCCCTGTGAAAAGTATAGGATGAATGTATCTTTTTAAACAGACTGTGTGAATCTGCTTGTAGATTGGGCCAGCAATTTAGAGATAGGGAAGTAATGGAAGAAATGATCAGTTCTGGAAAATGTTACTAATTGCACAGAGTTTACCTCAGCCAAGGTTGTGTTAAATTGCTGAATTTAGAGATAAAAGAATAAAGTTTTAACAGGAATAGTATTATGTTGTATAAAGAAAAAGAAAAGCAGGGAGGGGAAGGGTGCATAGTAGAGGTGATTTGGGAAGTCTGTATGAGTACCTCAGCCAGTGAGGAAAGGAAAAGGGTGATGCGTTTGGGAAATTAGGATTAAAAGTGGGCTGTGTCCCCCAACAATTTGAGAGTCCCTATTAGAACTTCCCCATCACTTTATTTGAATAAAGTTCAGGACTCCTCAGTCTCCTTTTTGGGCATCAAGCCCTGGCTTGTTGTGAATTTTTCCACACAACTGTAGTGTCCTTTCTCCCCTCACAGCAGACATTCCTCTGTGCTCGAGAGTCTCTGTGGCTCTGTGGGGATAGGGCCTGGCGTCTGTCCCCCTGTGTACTCCGTGCCCTCACGTCCCCCGGTGTTCCCCGTGTCCCCATGTCCCCCTGTGTTCTCCACGTCCCCGTGTCCCCCTGTGTTCCCCAGCCTAGGGAGCTGCTCCGGCCCGGGATGGCCAGCACTGGCAGGATCAGCCCTCAGGCTGTGGGACAGCCGGGGGTGCCTGGCTGGTGCAGCTCTGCAGAGGGATCCTGAGAAGGAGCTCTGGGCAAGGCGCTGCCAGCCCTGTGGGAGGAAACCCCCTGGGCCAGCCCCTAATGCTGCCCCTGGGGAAAGGAAGAGGAGGAGGAAGGTGACAAATGAGTTTGGAGTGTCCCAGTGCAGAGATTATGGGAGAGCTGCAGTTGGGGCCTGAGGGTCGGGGCCAGTGCTCGGACATGGCTGCAAGCGGCTCCTGAGTCAGCGTCAGGGCTGCCTGTGAGGATTTCAGGCGGCAGCCGAGCCCAGCAGTGCCAGCAGTGCCTGCCAGGCACCATGGGGATCTGCCCTTGGCTTCCCAGGCCATGAGGCCTCAGGCAGTGCGGGCTCTGCAGTGCTGTTCCTGCTGCCCTGGGCAGCGGCCTCAGGGCCTGGCCCCGGGGCACCATCTGCTCACCCTGGTGGCAGAGCCACAGCAGCGGGGAAGGAGCTAAAGGAGCATCAGGGAGCCTGGGGAAGAGAGAGGCTGGTGAAATAAGGCTCTGGCTGTAATTTTAAGGCTTTTTATTAACTTAATACAACTGAAGTGTCATGTTTCTGATAACCGTTGTCACACTTTTTTCTCACTTCTGACAAGATGTGCCAGATCGAGCACCGGGCGATGGGTCATGTCCACCTGGATGGGGGCTGTGGATGTCTGGCGGGGCGGGAGTGGCTGGAGGAGCCCTCTTGCCCAGGAGATGTGTCGGGGTTCTGTGCCTGGCCGGTGCTCCCGTGAGGTGGCAGGGCCTGTGGGTTGAGGGGTTGAGGGGTAAGGGTGAGCCGCCGCTTTCTGTGGGAGCCCCTGTATGGTGGAGCTCTGCCAGGCCAGGAGGGGTCAGCAGGAGTGTCACCTGCCCAGCCAGAGACCCTCAGGGAACAGGAGCTGTGTCCACCCACTCAAGCTCTTGTCCCACACTGGCCATCAGCATGCCCCCACCTTATGCCCACCCCATGCCCTAACAGGGCCACACCTGACTCATGCTGTGTCCTAATCACCGCAGGAAGCTGGTCAGTATGGCCCCTCCATGTGTGTCCACTACTGTCCAGCAGCTGGTTCACTCTGGGCTGAGGAGGAGAGAACAGGTGGCTGCAACGTGGGGTCCAATTCAGCATCTCCCAATAATCCTCCCAATCCAGGTCTCCCTGGCGACTGAAGGCACAGATTTTCCCTGGATACTCAGCAGTGCCATCAAGCCTCAGTCACTCCTCTGTGTCCCCACCATCATCATCATCCCTACCCTGTTGAGGAGACGTGGCGGCTGTGCACTTATTTGTGGGGAAGCCTTGATGTGCTGCGTTCTGGAGCTGCTGCTGTGATGGTCCCCGCAGCAATGTCGCACACGGGGGGGACTGCCATGGGCCCTGTGGGATGGGACAGAGGACACTCAGTGCCCAGCCCTGTGGCATCACCCTGCTGTGCCAGGGAGGGGACTGGTGGTGCTGCCTGCAGGGATCTGTTCCTCCCAGTTTCAGTCCACGTGCTGCAGGAGACCCAAACCCATCCCACCAGGCTGGATCTGCTGGCACTTTCCCCACAGCCAGGTGTGCTGGCCATGGCCGTGGCAGGTCCCTGTGCACAGGACACCAGCTGGCAGGAGCTGGGCTGTCCTTGCTGCAGGGCAGGTTTTGGGAACTCCTTTCCCAAGAGGCACACAACTCCTCACCAAGACAGAGCTCAGAATGAAATCAGACACAGCTCATCAGATGTGTTTTCACCAACCTTGGGACAGAGATGTGAGACAGAGCAGTGCAAGTTGGGGCCTGCAAAACCCCCCAAACGAGGGCCAAGCACTGGCCCTCAACAGGTGATCTCTGCTCTCCAGTCTCCGCTATCCCAGCCCTCCTTGCTGAAGCAGGGCTACCCTGCAGCCCATGAGCTGGGGATGTGTCCTCAAAGTCCCTACCTTTGGCTGTACAGTGGCTCCTTGCTGGGAGGCAGCGGCTGCAAATATGGGAGAGTCTCGGGGTTCCTGGGGAGAGCAGGAGTTACAGGTGTGTGACAGGGAACAAACAGCCTGTTCTTGTTGGAGGCAGCACCCCCAAACCCATAGGATTATAGCCCATGGCTTCCTGTAGCCCTTGGGATGAGTGCCCACACCCCCTGCTGAAGGGCAGGGCTGCAGGGGGGCTCCCCACATCACACCCTCCCAAGGGGACACTGTCACCCCTGTGTCCAGCACAGCAGGTCCCTGCTGGCACCCATCTCTCCCCCTGACACCCCTCAGCCCCCAGAGCCCTGGTGCTACTCACTGGCCAGGAACGTGCATGGTGAGCATGCGGTCACAGGACAGGCACGAGAAAGGGACTGGCAGCTGCCTAAGGAGGGTGAGAGAAGAGGGCTGGGGGAGCTCCTGGGGCCACAGCCCTGCCCACACACAGGCAGCAGCTCGCTGGCAGCAGCCAGGGGCCGGGCAGCTCTGGGGCGCTGTGTCACAGCCATGCCTGGGAGGAGGAGCTGCCATGTCCCACCCTGGCTCCTGGGAGCCTCTGCACCCACATCCCCCATTTTGCTTTGGGAGGGCTCCATCCTGCAGGTGCCCCCTCCTTGTGCCTCCTGTTCTGGGTGGATTGAAGTGGAAGGAGAAGGTGCAGCTGCTTCATCAGCATCTCCATGGTTGATTTAGCAGATGAATTGGTCCCAGGGCAGGGGACCACACCTGGGACAGCTGGAGGGAATGGGACCATCACCATCCCCAAGGCAATCACCATCTCCATCACACTCACTTCTTAATCCCAGCACCAGTATCACCCATCATCCTCTTCTCAAGATCCTCTATGTTTCTGTTCCAGGACTCCTCCAGGCGTTTACGGAAAGCCTTCAGCTCCAGGCGATCCAGCTGTGAACAGGTGCACAGCCTCAGCCAGCTGCCCCAGGATACAACATGCAGGTCTCCAGGGAAAAGCCTGGAAGGGGATCCTCAGAGGGATGCTGCCTCAGGCTGTCAAGTCCCAAAGGTGTCAGTTTCTGATGGTGGGGACCATGAGAACCGCTCACCTTCTCTTCCATTGCATCGCTGAACTGCTGCTGCATCTTGTTCCAGTGCTCCTCCTGGCCTGAAATCTGGCTCTGTAGCTCCTGCATCCTCTCATTCAGCCGCTCCATATTTGCATCAAACTGGCTGCAGTTGACTTTGCTGCCCAAGGCAGCTTTGTCGGCCTTCTATTGAGGGGAAGGGCAGGGGAGCAGTGGGGAAAGGGATGAGGAAGGACAGGCAGGGCAGCACACGTGAGGGGCAGAGGGAGAAGTGCCTCCTCCAGGCCATCATGCCCCTTTCAGGGTGCTGTGGCCCCGTTTGCCCCATCACCCTGGTGAGCTTGGTCCCACCATGTGAAGGGTGAGGCACCCCATGAGCTCAGGAAATCCTCCCTCCCACAGGCCAGTTCTGCCAGCCAGCCCCCAAGGGACAAGGGACATTTGTCACCATGCCCAGGAACCCCTGGGCTGGCACAGAGGCCCCTGGAGACTGTACCGTGTCCATGGCTGCCAACATTTCCTGTTCATCTGCTTTCTCCTTCTGCAGCTTCTCCAGAGACTGGAACAGCATCTTTCAGCACAGAAAGGAACCCATGACACCCCAGTAGGGCTGGAGCTGCCTCCTGGCCAGGAAAGCACATCCCAGTCCCCCTACCCAAAATGCTTGAGGGAAGGCACTTGGATCTGGCCTCGTGCTGTCTCTGGAGGGAGACAGATTCCTTGAGATCCCTGCCTGGAGTCAAAAGGAGAGCCTGGGGGATCTTCTGTCACCACAGAATTTTCATCCACACACCTGCATGGCTTTCTGGTTTTGTTGAGTCTCTTCCTGGAGGCTCCCAGAAACAAGGCTGAGCTTCTCACAGTCCCCTTGGATCTGTACAATTGTAGCCTCCAAACAGTGCAGGTGCTCCTGGTCCTGCCCCAGGCAAGGAAAAACATAGTGCTGAGCAAGTGGGAGTCTGTCTGCTCCACAGGGGCAGACCCGCATTACTCAGCCAGTGGCCATGAACCCTCAGTGTCAACAGGACTTTTGTGTCAAGGCTTTAATTTCTGTCCATGCCACTGACTGGTGCAGTTTGGGTCTCCCCCACATTAGAGCACAGCATAAGCAGCTGAGGGATGCCATCAACGTCCTCTCCAGTCCCCCATGTGTAGTCCCTGCCTACCTGGCCCCAATTCCTCATCATTGTCTCGAGCTTGGCCACTCTGCCCACAGCCATCTGCCGTGACTCCAGGGAGTCCACCTGCTCCTGGAGTTTCTCACAGCACCGGAAGAGCTTTCCCAAAAGCACTTTGATATTGAAGCTGCATTTGGAGCAGTCTGCACTCCCCTCTTCCTGCTCCTCCTGTAGGCTTCTAGTTGACTCCGCCATATCTCCAATCTGCAGGAAGGGCAGAGGGAATTGACTTGGAGATGGGATGAATGGAATCAACAGTGTTGGGTGGCCCCAGCCAGTTGGGGAATATGGCTGGAAACACAATCAGGGGTACTGCACCAAGCCAGTGGGTGGTGGGAGTCCTACCCCAGCTGTCCCAGACATAAGCTGTTCCAGTATGGCATTCCTCATCTTCTGCTGCTGCTCTTCCAGCTCAAGCTGCAGCTCCCGCTTTGTCTCCTGCAGCACAGCCCTGGCCAGCGAGATGGGGGCAAGGGCAGGGTTACCCTGCAGGGCTGCTCAGGCACTGTCCTGTACCTGCAGGCCAGGGTGCTCCCAGATCCCCTGGGCTCCCTTGCAGCCCCACAGGGTATGAAAACCACTCTTGTCCTCTTACTCCATTTGCTGAATGATCTCTTCACGGCTCTCTTCTCTCCACTTGGTTGTATCCTCCCTCAGCTTTTTAATGTCTTCTCCCATCTTCTTCATCTGGGAAGGTCAGTGATGGCAGAGTCAGGGCACAGACATCAATCATGTTGTCCCAGCATGGGGGCCCTTCAGCTGCACGGAAAGCCCCAGAGCCCCCCACCCATTCCTGAGACCCTGACCCTAAACTGCTGCTCTTGGAGTCCCATTGAAGTTCCCCATGAGAGCCCAAAGATAACCCAACCCAGCAGCTCACTAAGCCAAGGGCCTCCTTCGACTTCTTTACGTCTCCTTCCATGCGGGTCTGTGCTGTCTGTATCCTGTCAATCTCCTCACGGAGTTCCTGCATGAGATTCGTGTCCTAGGAGAGAGGAGTGGTGCTAGTCAGTCTCTGGGGAGGGTCAGTGGGGACCTGCAAGGCCTTGAGCCCTGCCATGGTTTGTGGAGCACTGGGGGACAGCGCAGGGCCCGGCTCAGCCAGGCTGGGAGGCTGCAGGCAGCATTCTCCACACATCCAGCCGGCAGAGCCGAGGGCACGGGCTGCTGTCTCAGAGCCAGGACTTGCTCCCAGCAGCAGTTCACCTCATTGTGTGCCTTTTGGATCTTCTTCATGTCCTTTGTCATGCTGGACTGTAGGAGAAAGTGGTATCAGAGACGAGGAGTGTGGGCAACAGGATCTTCACCACCAGAGTGGTATTCACAGACCTGTGCCTTCTGGATCTTCCTAATATTTTCTGACATGCATGAAAGTTCTGCCTTTATCTCATCAAACTCCTCAAGAAGAACCTGTGAAACAATCCGAGAAGTGAGATACCAGAGGTGATGGCCAGGGCAGCAACACCCCAAAGAGCCCCACCCTGCCACGGGCAGCCCATGGCTCAGCCAGGCCAGCAGGTGCCGGTGCCACCAGCCCCAGCCCAGCTCAGTGCCAGACCGCTGTCTGAGGAAGTGAGGAGGGGCTGTCTGGTGGGGGAGAGCCCAGGGGGCTGGGAAGAGCCTCTACCTTGGACATGTGTTCCTTGTTGTGTTTAATCTCCTTCTTCATCTGTTCCATCTCAGTGGCCAACTCAGCGAGTGAGGGGCCACTCAGCTGGCCCGGCCACGGCTCCTCGGTGGTCAGGTACTGCACATCCAGGTGCTCCAGCATGACCTGCAGCAGTTTTCTCATGGCTGCAAATTGAACAGCCCCTTTCTCGGGTGCCCCGATGGAGAGATCCAGGAGCTGGGAGAGGCTGAGCGTGTCCAGGGATGTTTCCATGTCTGCACGCACTCGGTCCCTGGTTGGTCAGAAGCCTTCTTGCCCAGCTGGGTCAGTCAGGGATGAGCAAAAGGGATGATAAAAGGGATGAATAAAAGGGATGGTAGAAGGGGTGGGCAAAAGCAATAATAAAAAGGATGAGAAATCAGCAGGCTCCTTTCTCCTTCCTTGTACATCAAATGACTGGAGCCTGTGCTGCTCATGCCCCTCTTCATGAGAGCTCCTGTTGCCAGGCAACACACACCACTCCACCTCTGGGAACCAGTAGGACCCAGCCTCATGAAGTTATGGAGTGATGGAATGGCTTGGGTTGGAAGGGACCTCAAGATCCTCTCTTTCCAATCTCCTGCCATAAGCAGTGGCACAGACCAACATGGCTGTGGGAGCCATGCTCTGCACTGGGGACTAAAGGCAGGGTGAGAAAACGCAGTGGTGCATCTAAAACTTTTACAGCTCTAAAGGGATTCTGTGATGTGCCATGTAATTCCACATCAATGTCCAGTCTTCCCAACTGACTCACACTTCTGCATTTGTACATCAGAATACCCCAATGATGCACAGATCCCAAAGAACGTCTCAGTGATCGTGAAGAGAGTCCCCGCTTGAGCTACGTGAGTAGCCATGAAGCACTGAGTTCCCTGTGAAGGATGTCAGGGTGTGAAATTCTTCTATGGATATGGGTTTACAGAGGCACTTGGACTGTATCTGGCCAAAGCTGCTGTTAATTTCTTTCTTCGTGGGGTAGATTTTAATGTATCTGCTCCAAAGCACTTCCAGGAATGGGGCAGACACAATTTCTTTGGGCAACCTGTGCCAAAGCATCCTGACCCTCACATGGAATATTTTCTTCCCAACACCAATCTAAGCCTGCCATGTCACAGTGTGAAGCCATTCCCCCTTGTCCTTTCATTCAAGGCCCTTGTGCCAAGCCCCTCTCCAGCCCTTTTGGAGCTGGATGGAAACTTGCATTTATTAAATGTTTTGCCATATGCCAGGTCAGGTCTTACAGCATCTTCTGCCTTCTGCCAAACTGGGGCTTCACACAAATCTTCAGTCTCATGTTTCTTTTTCACCTGCAACACTTCCATGTGTTGCTCCCTGCATCAGGAACTCTTGTCCCTGTTAAACCAACAGCTGCTTTCTGAGTATTTTGCTTTGTAGCTAATGATAATATTTTGTAGTTTCTCTCTTTCTCTCCCTCACTGTTTTGGAGAGCTGGACTGTTTAACACCTTGCATTGCACCAGGGATGTATTCCTCTACTCAAGCATATAACACAGAAGAGAGGCAGAAGAATCTCCTCAGGACACAAATACTCAAACACTGTGTCCCAGCCATGTTTGGCAGTGGTGCTGCTGTAGCCTTGGGCTGCCTCAGTTCTTCCTGCTCCAACGTGAGGCTTACATGTTCCCTGCTGGGTTCTGCCCACACCTTTGGCTGGTGTGAAGTCAGTGGGGCTGGCTAGAGTGTGGCTTCCCACCTTATCTGGTTCCCTGGCAACCCAGGTGCCCAGGTTCTGCCTTGGAACCCTGCCTTTGTCCAGGGAACTCAGGCACTTGGGTGCTAGGTTTAGGTCATGGGCTGGTGTTTTGTGGCCCTGATGCTGATTTTAGTCCCCTGGCACCCTAGAAACCGTGGCTTGTGGCTGTGGGTCCTGATGTCCTGCCTCCCTGAGGTGCACCCCTGCCTGCTCTGCTTCGGGCCCCCCCTCCAGCGGGCACGGCTTTGCCGTGACATTACTGGAGCCTTTGCCGATAACCCCAAACAGAAAGAATGCCATGAGGCCCTTGTTGAGGCTGCTCAACCACTTGCCTCCGTCACTGTAGGTATGTCATGAGTCCCTAGGGACATCAAACCCAAGTGGGATCCTGCCCAAGGACATCTGTCCTGACTGGCCCCTCGTTTGCACCAGGGACATCCATCCCAAAGGGGATCCCCACCCTGAACAGCACCCCAGAGCCCTCTGGGGTTTCTCATGTCAACCAAGGCACTCACACTGACACTGAGCAGGATCCCAGGAAGCTGGGGACCCTAGGGACCCACCCCGGACAAGCATCCTTGGAACTCACAACCATGCCAAGGTCTTCTCTGTCCTGATTTGGCCCCCAGGGACTTTTGGGAATCCCAAACCTGCCTTGAACCCTGAGAATCACCCGACCATGACGCTGGGGATCCCTTTTGGACCTTAGGAATCCACAGGGACACCTGACATTTCCCAGTATCCCTTAAATCTTGGTCAGGACTCCAGGAACTCCCAGAAACCCCCAGACTTTAGTGCACCTTCCCATCCCAGAAACTCCAACTCTAACCCTGTACTGATTCCTGTGTCCCTGTACTGATTCCAGGGTCAGGACAGCGTGAGGAACTTCGGGAAATCATCATGGATGCTATGATTTTTTTAGAGGAGCAAAGGGGCAAGAGTGAGCAGAATGAGGGACGTGAGACACAGGACATGGGACATGAGACATGGGGCAAGGGGGGTGGGATGTGGAGGCCTTGAAGGGGGATGGGGTGGATGTGAAATATAGGGTGTATGAAGGTCTGGGAGCTGTAAAGGGATATTTGGGGAATCTTGAGGGTATATGGGTTTCAAGGTCTACAGCTTCCTGGGGAGTTGGAGGGGATATTTGGGAATATACCTCACTTCAGGAGGGATATATGGAGCCAAAGTTAGTTGTATAAGGGATCTGTGGGGTCTGGGGTAGGTCTATGGGGACCAGGGTGAGGGCACATTGTCTTACCTGGACATTTGGGACACACCAGAGCCCCTGAACGAGACTCTGCAGGAAGCTGTCAACACAATCTGGACAAAGCTGAATCAGCTGGGGGAAGGTATGGAGCCACCCTGGGAACCCCTGTCCTAGAGAAAGTCCCAGGGACCCCATCTGGGCTGGACAAGGGCTGAATCCTGACCAGCTCATTACAAGGATGTGGGTCCCCAGTGATGCCCATTCTAACACTGCTTCCTCCCCACCAGTTCCAGCCTGCATCCCACCCTGTGGTGAGTGTCTGTCCCTCTGTCTTGCCCTCCCCTGTCTCCTGGTACATATCCCACTTCCCTGGGATCACCAATCTCTCTTTCCCAGGATTCCAGCCAGCTGCCCGTGTCTTCCAGTGTGCTACCTGCAGCCTCGTGGACTGTCAGTTTGCCCTGGACTGCCCAGGTATGAGGCCATGGGGGACTGTTGTGTTAATGGTAAGGAAATCTTCCTCAACTTCACAATTCTTAGGTTATTTTTGTACTATTTTTTAAGTTTGGTGGCACTTGAGTGACTCCAGTCACACCTCTAGTACTGACTGAGGTCAAATCTATCTTTGCTTGTAAAGGTCTAGGCTAGAAAAATGCAGAATGTGTGCTCAGCAAGGGTGGTCATACATTGGGGGTAGGTAGCTTTTGGGATGGAGGTGTGTTCAGTATTATAATGAGATTACAGTGAGCAGAGTTAACCCAAAACACAGAATTTCCCCACAAAAATCTCTCTCTGAATTTCTCACCCACGGTCCCACGCTGAGCACACCCGCCCAAGTGTGCATCTGCCCATCCCTGCAGCCAGCACAGGAGCACCATCACCTCTGGCAGTGCAGGTGGGAGCTCATGGGCCTGTCAATGCTCCCAGTGCAGGACCTGTGGACCTACACGGATGAAACCATTGTGCTGCGCTGCAACGTGCCTTTCCACGTCCCCAGTAGCCTGCCCGTCACCTGGATGTTTGCCCCCAATGTGAGTTGTAGAATCATAAAATCACAGGATGGTTTGGGGTGAAAAAGACCTTCAAGCTGGTGTCATTCCAGTCCCCTGGAAGGTGTGCAGGGGACTCACTAGACCAGGCTGCTTCAAGGTCCAACCAACCTGGCCTTGGACACTTCCAGGGATGGGGCAGCCACATCCTACCTGCACAGCCAGGTGTGTCATGGGGAGAGTGGAAGCTTCACAGTTTATTAAATGAGCCCTGCTGCTGAGTCTGAGGTTCAGAAAGTATTCCTTTGTGTGTTTAAACTCTTCCTGGGAGATGGGTTCAGATGAAGGTAAATTCTTCCTTAGCCTCAGAATTTGGCAACAGCTTAAATCTTAGGAATCATTTTGGCAAGTCAGATATATTTATAAAAATGAATTCTTTAATAAACTAATGAACAGGCAAAATACATGAAAAGTCTTAATCAGAATTACTACACAGTACAAAAGTACAAGAACTACTAGTATAACATAGAACAGTGCACTATATCAAGGCATCTATATTAAAGCTAGCAAAAGAAATAGTATTGAATAGGAGCCAAATGTAACTTACCACCAAAATGACAATAATGTACACAGATTCCTCCACCCAACTGGGAAATGTGTCCCTATTTATGGGAGGAACTCCACACATTTCCAGGAAAATGTATAGAAGCTTTCTACTTTGCAGAAGTGTGCTGTGGCTTTTATAGTTGTGAAGTGGCTCTTGCTGTCAGTCAGAAATCCAGCTTATCTTCCACGTCTCACTTTGACAGTAGGATGTTCATTGGAATTTGGGAGATGCCAGAGCGGTGCTAACCCGGTGGTGCAAAAATAACTCATTACAAGACATGAAATGAGTTTTTGTTTGGGTTATCTGACTGGCTGACAAACAGCAGATAAGCTCTTGTGGGGGAGGAGATGCCCTGCTACACAGGGCCTCACCACACTCACAGGGAAGAAGCTCTTCCTGCAGGAGGTGACTTTTGTGACTTTTGTGTACACCTGGTTGTGCAGCCCTGGGTGGGATGGAAGGTGTGTGCACAGAAAGGGGTCCAGGAAGCACGGAGGGGACGTGCCAAGCATGTGCAGGACACAGGTGCCTGTTATGGATCCCATATGGATGAGTGCAATCCTGTGTGGATTCTGTATTCTGGTCTGGGCAGTGCTGATGTGCCCCCCTGTGCCCCAGCTGCGCACACAGGACATGACACTGTTCAAGGAGCTGAAGGGGAATCCAGAGAAGCCCTTCAGTCTGACCATTGAGGAACCTGCTCCAGGAACCGTTGCCTGTTGCCTGGGGGAGCCTTCCAAGCCCATTATCCGCAAGTTCTTCTACCTCAATGGTGAGCCTGGACACCTGAGCGCTCTGGGGGCAGGGAGCAGCGTGGGGCAGAGCGGGACCTGGGACACCTGGGTCCACGGGAAGGGGGTGAACAGGGTGCCAGGATGTCTGGCTTCATGGTGGACAGGTGGATTAGAGCATGTGTTCCCTGGTGCCTGGCTCCTCTGGGTGCATGTGGGGTGGGGCAGGGACCCCCAGATGCCAGGGTGGCTGGGGACAGCAAGGTCTGTGGCTGGAGCAAGAGCTGCAGGGGTAATTGGTCTCCCCATGACTGAGGGGCCTGGGTCTCCACAGTATCAGAGGGAAGTGTGGAGGAAGAGAAAGGACTCCAGGCTGTGTTCAGCACTGTGCTGCATGGACGCCATGACAAGACCCCCGTGCCCCACACACCAACCATGGGGCTGGCTCTGGCTGTCGGCTCCATGGCATTCATTCTGCTGCTGATGTGAGTACTCCTCCCCTGCTGAACTGTACTCTGAAAATCCCCATGCTTCTGGAGCTCTTCACAGACCAGCATGGGACTCCCCATCCCCTCTGGATTCTCAGTCCCTTGGGATTCCCTGCAAGTACAAGGGGAGCACAGGTATCCAAGGGTGGGCCAAAGACTACCAGGACTCCTAAATTCACAGGAGCCTCCATGTCTCCTGGGACTTCTTTTGCCCTGTCCCTATGGGGGCAGTTACCCCAGTTGCCCCCAGCACACCACAGCTTCACCCTTAGGCCCACCAATTGCTTCGAGGACCCCCCAGTTGCCCCTTGAGCAACTAATGGGAATAGGGTGTCCTCCCTGCTCCCCATTCCTCCTTCTGTCTCCCAGAGCCATCTGGCAATGCCTCTGTGTCCATCAGACGTGCCACAGATGCGGACATCAGGATACCCAAGAGGATTCAGAATCCTCAGATTCACCGTAGGGGACTTCAGCATGTGGATCCACCCCACAGGACCAGCATTTCTGCAATTGCTTTTCTTGTGTTGGGAATAGTTTTAAAACAGAAATACAGAGTTCTGAAAACCTGGGTTGTGCTTGTGATAGAAATAGTGGGTTCTTGGGCTTGCAAACATTAAAACTGGGTACTGGGCAGCATTTTCTTTCCCTGTGTGGACATTCCAGCTGCAGCTGGAGCTGCAGAGCTGTCAGTGATGGTGAGGGTGCAGGATGGGGGAGAAGGGTAGTAACTTGACAGACTTGCTCTAGAGCTGCCTTAAGTTTGTCAAGGATCAATGGGACTGGTTGAGAAATACAAAGGATGGGTCCCTTGGCTGCCCCTGACTCCAGCAATGGCCAACAATGACTGGAGAAAAGCCAGCCAAAAATTATAATATCAGTGTGGGATCTCAGGGCAAAAACAGGAGGGGAAAGCATCTCTGCTTGCTTGAGATCAGCAGATGGACAGTGTCTCTCCTTCTCCCCTGAAGGGATGCCTCTGGTTGAGCTTCACACCTCCAACTGCATTGGAGCAGACCAATGGAAGAGTTATGTATATATAACTGGGTCATAATATATATTAACACTCTGTAGTTAGTGCATTTATCATCAAGAGTCCTGAATCTGCTTTCCTGTTCCTTCCCTAAACCTCACTATTTGGAAACATGGATTGTGTAAATTCTTGTTCAACTGGGCCAGACCATGCTGGTACATTGCACTCCAGGGAATCTGTGATCTCACAAGTTCCCACTGAACACAGCCAGATTTATCGTGCCAGATATTGTATCAGATCTTCTCTGCACTGCCTGTCCCTGCCAGCCTTTCTGAGTGCCTTACAAACAAAAGTATTCTACCTTTGCACATTTCCAGATTCCCTCTGTTCCCTCTGAGTGCTTCTCTGGGTCCCCTCTTACTCATTCTCTTCACTTCCAACCACTCTCTGATGCACTCGTGTCTCACTGGGCACTCACGACTCCTCCTGCTTCCCCCAGATACAGACCCCTCCACCAGGATCCCCTGCCTGTGTCATGCACCCCAGAACACACCAGCTGCTTCAAACACTGCCCCACAACACTCCACCTCCCTGAGGATCTTGGGGCTGCTCTGCTGCCCCACCCAAAGCCAGGCTGGGCTGGAGCAGATTAAACAAGAGCCCCTTGACCTGGCAGCACCAGCTGCAGAGGTGGGAGGCAGGGACAGACCTATGTTTGCTCTCCACCTGGCTGGTGACTGTGGCATTCAAGTGTTTTCTGAGCAATACTCTTCGAAGTTTGCAAATATGCTGTTCCCAGGGGAAATTCCATCCAAGTCACTAAGCACTCACAGAAGAGACCATTCCAGGGATTCTTGCTGGCACGGGAATTATTTTCTTTGCAATCCAGAACCACGGGCACCTCCACCTCAGCTGGTGTTTTCTGCAGGCACAAAGGAAACCAACTTGATCTCTTCCAGCAGAAAAAGGGGGGGGTAGGACCCACTCAGCCCGCCCAGAGCAGAGGGCACTACAAATCCCCCTGTGCCACCGGCCACTCCAGAGCTCGGCTCCAGAGGCATTCCCGGAGGGAGCAATGGGTGAGTACAGGGCTGGGAAGCCGTGGGGAGAGCAAAGGCAGGGCAGCTCAGCTAGAGGGAGAGGCTCCATGCACTGGTTCTTGCACATTTGATGGGGAGCAGTGGCACCCGTGCCCTTTAGGGGCACTTGTCACCTCTTTGAGCACCAGCTGCTCATCCCCTGTCTTCTGGCTCACCCCAGCCAGGTGCCTGCTCCACGGACCAGGGGTGGAACTGTTGGGTACTCTGCTCTGCCCAAAACTACCTGTTTGACCAGTCCAAGGGGAAAAGGGCAGGTTGTCTACCCCTTTGGCAAGCTTTGCAGCTTGCAGGGAGCAGCCTGATGCTGCCCAGCATGCTCGGTGCCCTCCTGCACCCCACAGGCTCATGTTAACTTCAGTGCTGCTGCTATGGGAGGGATGGTCACATTTCTTCTTTTCTTCTTGTCCCTCTCTACCAGCTCAGTGTCTTCTGCTCCTTGCCTCCCTGCTCATCTTGGCTGCACCAGGCCATTCTGTGCACACACAAACCCTAAACACCTTCAAGAAATCTCCCTCCAACACTTCATCGAGTGTTCTGAAGAGAACCAGTAGGTAGCATCCCGTGGGCATCTGGTGTTGTGTGCAGGTGTTCAGCCAGCTCTGGGTAGGGCAGGACTGTGCACTGTCCCTAGCCCTGGCCCTGCTCCAGGCTGGAGGATGGTGAAGGTGTGCCTAGAGCAGGCTGCAGTGCTCTGTGTGTGTGTGTGTGTGTGAGTGTGCACTGTGCAGGCTGGGAAGGGTGGCTTTGTGCTTGAAGGGACCATTTTCCCCCATTTTTCCCCATTCCCTTAGTCACAGGCAGGGGCTGGGCCCTATTCACCTTCCTCTCAGCATGACCCTGCTGTAGTGGCACAACCCCTTGTTCAGGAGACCCAGAGGAACCCACTGGTGCCCATATTCAGCCTCTTGGACTGATATCAGCATAGCTCAGCCACTCTGGGGCCTGACTCCTGTTGGTTTTCCACACTGAAAAGGAACAGAGGGCTAAGGCAAACCCAGTCTCACCTGTCTGGGCTGGGAGAGCTGGTTATCCCCCATGCACTCTGGCCAGATGAATCTCCCTCCTGCCCAAGATCTTGTCCTGATGCCCAGGCTTTTGTTCTATCCCCTTGTGTCCTGCCCCAGGCTGGCCCAGGGACTGCAGCGAGGTTCCAGTTGACAGCCCCAGTGGCATCTACATCATCCAGCCCATGGGGCTGCACCCCATCAGGGTGTACTGCGAGATGGGTGGGGCAGACAGGGGCTGGACCGTCATCCAGAGGAACCGGCAGGACACGGATATCACCTGGGCCGAGTCCTGGAGCACCTACAAGCACGGCTTTGGGAACATGCACACCGAGTTCTGGCTGGGCAACGAGTACATCCACCAGATCACCAGGCAGAAGATCTACCAGGTCAGGTTTGTCATCTGGGATGCTGCAAACAACATGAAGTTCGCAGACTACAACCTGTTCAGCCTGGACGATGAGTCCCAGGGCTACCGGCTGAGGCTGGGAGCGCACTCGGGGACAGCGGAGGATGCCATGGATTCAGACAATCCCAGGAAAGTGCACAACAACATGAAGTTCTCCACCAAGGATCGGGATCAGGACACTTACAGAGGGAACTGTGCCTCTCGCTACGGGGGTGGCTGGTGGTACTCGGCCTGTTACTCTGTGCAGCTGAACGTCAAGGGGCGCCTGGCATGGGGCCGCCTGTGCCGGGGGAACTGCAGAGCCTCGGCCATCCTCATCAAACCAACTGCATACCACTAAAACTCCTTCCTCCTTCTGTCCACGGGTGCCTCCTGGCCAGGCCAGTGCCCTGCTGGGGTCTGTTTGATGATGAGGCCTCAGGGGGGAATAGGGTTGTTACTCTATGTCAAGAACTGCTTTGTTTTCCTCCTGTCCTGAAAAGTAGCAAAGCTCCTGGCTCTGTCTCTGGCTATTCACCTGTGGTGGGTTTTTGCGGGGGAGATATTATTAGAATGCATCTTTATAAATGCTGCAGTATCCAAGCATGTTCCTTCTGGAGAGAATGCTGTGCTCAGAAACCTAAAACCCTCCTGATCAGCGTGGTCTTATGCTCTTTTTGCTTTGTGGGTACAGATGTTTTCAGCAGAAAGGTATCCATCATCACCAGCTAACCTGATCTAAACTATACTGAGCCCAGGGCAAGCCGTGTCCACAGCACATCCCTGCTGCAGTCTGTGTTCATCCTGCAGAATTAAATCACTTTCACACCTGCATAGTGTCCTTCATTTATTTGGGAACTCCTTGCAGCTGCTGCCTGTTTCCTGACAGAAGCACACCTGAAGCTTCTGGTGCAGTAAGAAAAGGTTTTCAAAGGAAAATCTTTTCACACTACTCAAGTGAGGAATTAGAGACAAAACTTTCACTTAAAGAAGAGGGTTGCAATTCCAAGGTGAGGATCTTCCAGAAAGGGAATGTAGCATCACACAGCCAGCAGAGGGTGCGAGGGAAGCATCAGAACAGTTCAAGCCTGCCAGCCATGACCTGGAAAGCCAGGCTGATGTCATCCTGCCTCACCCTTGTGGACACTGGGGGAGAACTGGGAGACTGGAAAGGAACAGCAGTACTGCAAGGCCACACAGCACCATATGGTTGGTCTCTCTGGGCAGGTGTGAGAGCTGAGACAGCCTGACATGGCACAGATCCCAGAATTTCAAGATTCGGGATCAGCTGGGTCTGTGTGAAATTGCTCCAGTGCAGTGATAACTGTGCACTGGACAGCTCAGCAGTGGGCACAGTACCTGTGATGTGGTCTCCTGATGCTGAGCAGGGGGAGGATGTTGGTGTGGCAGTGCTGAACAGAGCAGGAGACATTTCACTGGCTGCACTCATAGATTGACAGAATATTCTGAGTTGGAAGGGAACCACAAGGATCATTGAGTGCAACTATTCTCATTCCAACAGAGACCAGGAATGCAGCTCAGCATCACTCAGGGCTGGCTGCTGGGTGGAATGCTGTTTATCAAACCTTTGTCCAGCCTCTCTCCTTCTATTAGGTTGTGCATCCAGGCTGGAGCACCAATGCCTTTTTAAACCAGCAGACACATCTCTTAGTCCAGAAGTGCTGCTCTCAAGTCAGCTCCAATGGGAAGCCTTTCTCAACCTGCAGCACCCTCATATCTTCATCTTCCTGTGAAGCAGTGCTGCCCACCCTGCAGGTGCCTCCAAGGCTGCCAAAGAATGCTCCTTGAGAACTTGACAGCTCCTCAGGAGCTCTGCAGGGTGCCCTGGGACCCTGGTCACAGGCCTTGGCTCCAGAGTCCCATTTGTTCAGCATTCCAAGCCACAAACCTCCCCTGAGCTCAGCTTTCCTTCCACAGAGTGAGAAGAGGAGCTGTGGGTTCTTTCAAGCCCCGAGTTCAAACTTCCCTGCATCACAAGGGAACTTCCTAGACACATTCCCTATCTGCAGCAGGGAACAATGGGACTGGCTTACCCACATCATTCACACCCTCAGGGAGTCCTCTGCCCTCTCCACACTCCAGCTTGTGGCAGTTTCTCCTCTTTCCAAGCACAGAGCAGCCACCCAGCCATGAACAGGGGTAAACTGAGCGAGGGATTTGCATGACCAGGGCTTTGCTGGCC